TAATATATAATTATAGTTACAAATACCAAACATTTTTCTTTCTGTGTTCAATAAATTATTAAAATTCGTATCGGTCTCGAATTCGAACCTTAAGTCTCGTCTGGGTCTCGCCTCGGTCTCGTCTCGTCTCGGTCTCGGTACCAATATCGAGACTAGTTTCGGTATCGTTCGAAATATTATTTTTTAATGTTTTCATAAGTAGAATAATGAAAGAAATCGTAAAAAAAGTATTTAAGATATTTGTAGTTTAGTACAGTTAATTTTTTTAAACACATGCCCCTATTGTAAAAATTGGATGTATATTTCTAAGACGTTTTCCAGCAAAAATTTAGTATTATTTTTAGTACAATATTATTTCATATTTTCATTTTTCTTTTCAATAAACTTTTTACATTATTATTAAGTAATTATATTTATGAATTAATCAGTTATAAAAAGTATAAGCATTTATAGTAAAAAAAATTGTATTTACCAGACTTGGCAATATAAATTGAAATTTATAATTAACATTATGAGTATCCCAGTTCCTAAACCAGCAGCAAACCATGAATAATTAGGCCAGTACAATATCGAATAATTTACAAAGTCAGTATTCGAAATTTGGTATTCTTCTATTTTGTTTTCTCTGTATGTAGTGTTCCTTAATAGCGGTGTCACATTTTCTGTTGTAGTATTTGTTAATTGTGATGTCACGTTTTCTGTTACAGAATCTGTTACAGAACAGTAATGTTCTAGAAAAGTAATTGCAATTAATAAATAATTATATTCATTATTAGTAGATTTTGTAATAACTATTCATTACATATTAAAGAATTAATTTTGTTAAATATAAAAATTTGTTCTGAAGAAATTCATCTGTTAATTGCAAATAAAGTTACATTAGTCTTTTTTATAATAAAATTTTCCATAAGATTCTTATTACTGTATTTTTATTAATTATTTAATAACAGTGAAATAGAAAAGAAATTTAATATATTCAACTTGCTATAAGTAAATTAATTTTTGAATTAATAACAAATAAAGCGAAAAGAAGAGTTTCTATGTATACATTTTCATTTTATATTATACGACATTTTATACATAATAGTTTACAAATCTTGTATATTCTACTTTTTTTAAAAGATGTTTCAAATTATATTTTAATATTATACATATATCAGTTAGATATATGTATGTTCCATTATTTCTTTATGCATATATTCCTTACAGTTTTATTATTCAAAGATATACTTAGAAATCTGGCAGAGACAAGGCAGTGTCTCGGTACTTATATTTACTATGTTCGAAGTTTACATAATTAAGAGAATAATAAACAAATGAAACATTAGTTTCTTAATATATAAATTTCTTTACCCAAAATTAAAGTTGTGTAGACGGTGGTCCATAACGATAATGGTGACAGTGTCATAACATGGAACATTCTTTTCTTTACTTAAATAAGCAAAATTACTTTTCTTTATTTAAGTAATTTTAAAAAGGAAGTCGTAATTAATATCTTGCTGTATGTCGTATTGTCGTATCGTCTGAAATTAATAACATCTAAAATTAATGATATGTTTATTTTAGGTGTTTGAATAATAGAAAATATATATTGTCCGACAGCTTATTCGAGATGGTAAAGAGATAAATTCTAAAGAAGTTCAAACAAGATTGGATTGAAGAGATGTTTATATATTATTTGACAAGATTATGAAAGCTAAAAGATAACTTTGATTTCGTCTAATATACATCGCAGAAATATATTTTTTTGGAGTATCTTATAGTTCAATCTATGGCATGATCAACATGGCATTAACCCTTAAGTAAGGCGCACGAGTAAAATCACACAAGTGGGCGCATGGGGTCAGCAGTGACCCCAACTTCTTTTTTTTTTAATTTAAGTAAATCAAGAAAGATATTTAAGAATAAAAATAAATTAGTTTGTTAAAATTAACATTTATCTATCAATAGCGATTACTATTACATTCAAAATTACGTCCTAAGATAAGAAGCTACTGAAAGCGGGAAGGTCAAAAACAAATGTATTTTTTTAGCGATTGAAGTTCTGACCCTATGCGTCTACTTAAGGGTTAACTACATATTATCTAAATGTTTAGAACGTAATTAATTATTAATTAATATTAATTTTATGAAGAGAACAGAATTATGTTCTAATAATCTATTTTATCACCGATTTTTTTATATATGCTTGTATCGATAAACGGTTAGCATTTTATAATGCAAAAATTACAAAAATAGATAATCACGAAATATAAATTAATATGTAAAGAATAACATACAAATGATGATTACTAATTTTCATGAGGTCTGAATTAATCTTTATTTCTATAAAAATTCAATTGAATAAATTGTAACGTGTAGGTATAATGAGTTACTTAATATTAATTTATAACAAATAATACTCAAAGATAGAAAGTTAAAAAAAGTTTGGTATGATAACTAGTACATTAAGATATTATTTGCTCGATGAGGTGTAAAAATTAATTTCAAATAAGACAATTTCATCTGTACATCAAATAAAGTATTGTTTTATCTGTACGTTCTTATTATGTGATTCGATAACAAGTTACTGAAAATTCTATTCGTAAGAACCATATATCTTTAACATCATTTCACCTATTTGCATGTGTTGAACTTTATACGAAACTATTTACCTATTATTTAGCTTTTGCGAATTGTGTCGCAGAGTTAAACATGCTTTCTTTTTCGAAAAAAAATCAAGCGACGCAGTAAAATCAAATCTCGATCACGAATTAAACGTATGTCTACATTTGTAAGCCACCAGGTCCGTGACTCGTCGTAGCTCACAGCTCGTCAAATAAATAATTGTGATAATTTCAAAATAAATTCGACTTCATAAATTGACAAGCAACCGAGTTACAATGAATCAAATAGATCGCGTCATTTATTGTAGTTAGTTTATGCATATCATCTATAATTCGTAGCTTGTAAACATAACAGTTTAAAAAATATAAAGACTGGAAAAACATTTTGCTGAAATATTTAAAAATTTAACTAGATACCGATCTGAAAATAATTTTGTTGAACTATTAAAATAATACGTAGTTAAAGTAATTACAAATCTCAAATATGACGAGTAATGCTGCAAAACATTTTGACATTTGAGCAATCAGTCTGAGTGTCCTATATAATTATTTTGATGTTTCAACAAAATTATTTTTACATCTGTATCTAGCTAAATTTTTAGATACTTCAGCAAAAACGTCTTTTCCATGGAGAAATGAACAGCATGGTTAAGAAACATTGACGTACGGTCCAATGATGTGACTTATTGATTCGTGGCTTGACAAGCATTTTGATTCGCGTCCTACTTCTCGATAATAAATGGGAATAACAAGCTGTGAATCGCAAGCCATGAGGTACGACTGTTGCGAGCAATAACGAACTACCTTTGTTCCAGAGCACGTGGTGAGCATGACGAACATAGCGAGCCACGTGGTCTGTATTGGTATGTACAATATGTACATACGGGACCTCGTGTTTATCAAATCTCGAGCCGCGAGCATTTTGATGTTACGCGGCTCGCTTCACATGCGAAGATGGTATCTGTTGTCGCATCAAAGAATGTTACACAGAAAGGTTATGCATTTCTTTGGACAACGCTGAGCAATGCTGAGAGTTAAACATCGAACTAAATGAAAATAATTGCAGTCACAACATGTGATGCAATTCATATACTTACATATTGTTGCCTGTATTAAAATAATTTGCTTTTGAGAGACAGAATGAAGTTCTAACATAAAAATGTTAAAACACGTTTTATAATATTTTATTAAAAAAATAGAAATTTGTTTAAAACGAATTTAACTAACCTGTACATTTAATTTAACCTACAAATTCTTGCAGTAAAGGTACAAGAGTTTCACAAACTTCTAGCACTAAGAGGTTGAAGGATCGTTTACAAAAAGATATTACAGATTTTTAGAAGAATTACTGTTTTCTAAAAATTATAAAACTAGTTAGTACAAATATTTTCTTACACGAAAACGTGTATGCCTGAAGATCAAGCATTCGACATCTAGCGTGAGAATAACCAGTTGACAAAGAAAGTACGACAAAGAGCCGTCGATGTATTGTCCTTTCTTTTTCTCTAAGCAAGTATTAATTGAAAAGAGAAAACTATATACATATATTTCCTTCTCTTTTCTATGGATAATATATATTTGAAGGAAAGAAAGGAGAATACATATAAAAAAATGATTCTAATTGTATAAATTATCTATCAATATACGCTAATTTCACGCTTTTTATGGGAAAAATATATGAATGACAGATCTATGTATGTACATTCCTCATTATTTTTGCACTTTTCTAAAATATATGAGTTATCTACCTGTTAACATACCTGTTTTATACTTTAAGATTAATTCAATTAATAATTCGCATGAAATTTTTCCTACTAATTTGTGAAATTTTATGTTTTTACATAAATTATGATTATTATATTCCGCCCTCCTTAAAAATAAAAAAAAATACTTTCTATAATATCATCCTCTTTCTTTTTCGACTTATTTTTTGTATAGCATAATTTATACGTATAAATATATTCATAATTAGTTGTTGCAGCAGCTAATTTTAATGTACTGTTATTTATTATATAACGCGTATATATTTACGGGTTAATTCTAAACAGAATCTAAGACTCGTAACGTATTCTCGTAAAACTTGTAAGAACTTATGACTAGTATTTTAATTTTATGTGTAGGTATGTATCGTAAGACATATGATTATTCGTAAATATCTACGATTTCTTGTAAATTTTATGGTTAGTAAGAAGCTGTCAGTAAAAATATTATATAAAGGTATAAGTAGTTAAAAATTTTTACAAGTTTTACAGGAATATGTTACGAGCCTTACGATTCTGCTTAGAATTTAGGCATTAATTACGTCGATTGCAGAAATGTTTGTGACGGAATGCTGATGATGCTCATGATTTGGTGAAATTCTGTTTAAAGTAATTTTAGTTCGATAATTAAGGAGAGACTCTATGTTTTTCTAACAGAAAAGTTAAATTTAGATTCAACTCGCTATTAGATATTGTTGGTAACATTACAATAAGTGTGTTGGTACTTAAAAACATAATACAATATTCTATAATGATTAAAACCATTATAGAAAGTAATAAAAGTATTTTAAATATACATAAATTTGATTTTTAAAAAGTTTATAAATTTATATTAAACAATGCTTGCAAACATATCGCATGTATTTTCGCAGTTAACACAACTGTATACTTTTTAACGTAATATATGTATTGCTTACTATTTTATTTATTACATGTAATGAATCACTTGTCCGTTTACATTATGATGCGTTGCAGCAGGTCGAGCATGCGGTAAATTTCTGTTAAATCGTTGATTGAAAATATTCTCCAAGTTTCGAAGAGAGTGACAGATGTATCTATTTAAATGTAATTATTATTACTCATGATAATTTACAATTAATGACAAACAAGTAATAAAAATGAGATGTTTTTGTACACAAAAATCATAATAAACGGCTATAGCAGTAATCTAACATCACTAACTTCATATTTATAGATTTTCTAAAATTAAATGTTTCATGTAACAACGAATTAATCAGTTACACGTATGAATTAATTAATTATGAATTGATATAACTATAAACAATGGTTAAGAAAAATTTAACTTACTTGTTTATTATATGTACACATATATATAAAGTTATTGGTGAAAGTTCGATTGTTATTATTGTTAAGATGTTATAAATAGATAATTTTCGATTTGTAATCAGATTGTTCAATATCTTCAATATCGTGGTATTCCCTATTGCTTTCTATTTCTGCATTTTTCGTGAATTTTGATGTCACATTTTCTGATACGACATCAAAGAATATAATGATAATTTGTAATTAATTACAATCAACTTAAAAGTATTTATTTTGTTAATAGTAGATAGTTGTCTATTTGGAGATGGTAAATAGCGAAATAAAACTTCGATTTCACAAATACTTAGATTTATTACACTCTGTGGTAAAAGTTGTGTGTTCGCTTCGCACTAATACAAAGAATGATGAAAAGGAAGGCGTCACGCCACCTAACGCTGCGATCGCCAAAAAATAAAGAATAAAGGGTCACTAGATGTAACAAAGTATCACAATTGAAAAATTGCTGTGACGTATCTTTGGAGCTAAAATGACGTCGAAAATAGTACAGATGTTGCATTTAATGTAATTATCTACATATTAAGTGCAATCCTACCTGATTTTGTTAGCATTATGTATTATTTTTCTCCTTTAAGGATGGGTTATTCTACCTTTCGGGCTGCGGTCCACTTGCTTCTTTCAAATGCTCTGAACGCTACGCTCCAAACGCTACGCTCCGATTGGTCCATTACTGTCCCGAATGCTACAATTGCTACATGAAC